TGACGAAAGAAGCATGGTGCTGGGTCCTACAATCTTCCCATAGTAAGCTAATCAAAGCTATGGTGGTGTTGATTCCAAAACTGAAGATGAGGTCTAATAAATTCCTTTGCAAGATTTGCCCAAGTCTCACTTGCAAATGAAGAAAGACACATTTTTCATAAGATCTATTTCTTTCCCTCTTATTGAAATATCTGTAGTTCTGGAAACTTTTACATTGGATGGGAATTCCTTTGCAGCACTATATAACATTCTGTTCTCTTTGTTAAGTACACAGCAGAGAGCGCAAGGACCATTTAAGGCATGTTGCATTTAGCAAACAGCTCATTTCCTTTCCCCTGCTTGTTGCAATGTGTCATCATGAACTGCTTTCACCGACATCAAATGAAACCGCTATGACCATTTGTGATATTTTTGCTGTAGAGATAGTTTCATAGTCTCTTCTGCTTTTTATAATGTTCAACCAAGTGTTTTACAATCACCTTGCAGTTCAAAGACATCTGGACTTCATGAGCATCCATAGCCATTTTGGCTTCAGATATGAGAAAGCCAATGGACCAGAAATGCCAATAAACCTTGCTTGGCTGTACAAATTTAGTATCTGCCTGTGCAGCTTTATTGTATGTGTATTTACGGATGTATATCTGTAGAAACAAGTGCCGGTTGAGTACAAGAATATCTAAATTAATTACTTTACAGCTGGCAGAGTAGAAAGGAAAAGGAAGGTTAATCCCATTCACCTAGCAAGCCTGTTTATGAATGCACAGAAAGATCCCAGAGTTGGATTGAATGGAAGAAGAAAAGAAATGAGTGCACGTTTCTTCCCTGGAAATACTTCGCAATCTGGCTAAATGACTGAGTCAAGGCAGAAGGAACACATTTCAGGTGCAAAGTAAATGTGTCTGAAAGAAGGGCAATTAAAAATGATCCAAACGTATTGAAAAGAAAGACATGTAATAGTACAAAGATGTTTTGAGGAAACAAAGGCAAGGAAAGACGATTTCCAATAATGCAACACACAAATAAACAAAACAAAATCCAGACTTTCGAGCATGAAGGTCACTTCCAAGATCACTTTCCAAAAGGGCATTTCAGATGTCAGCTCAGGTTAAGATAGAGATCTCATTATTTTGGAAACATGCTACAATGCTGGTCTAAACTAGTATAGTTTTGCTAAGGAAATGTGAAATCAATGCAGATGGAAGTTAAGGGCCCCAATGATCAATATTCCATCTTCATGAAAAATGCCATGTTAAACCTATTCAGCTCTGTATCTTTAAAAGTAATGAAGTGAATGATTAGAAACATACCCGTAACTCAAAAAGCCCAACCGATTTAAAGCTGCATATTGTTTACTGATGGCTCTAACCCTTGCTCATGTAATCCCAAATGTCCTACATCGTATCTCCTTCTGACCATATTTGCCTTCTTGAACCAAGATAGGAAAACTTCCAAGTTTCAGAATAGATTTCTTCTGAAGGGAGACAATCACATTTAGTACCTTTTCACAGACCACCACCGTGGAAATTATTGTACAAGGATGGGCAGTTGATTCTTGAATGAGTTTCCTTTCTAAAAAGCTTTTCACAATCCTAGATGGCCAGGTTGGCCAAATTCAGGAATGTGAATAGATGCCACTAGATATTTCTGTTCATTATCCTGTGATTCTGCTAATCATCTTTGGTAACGGGGTAAAGATTAGAAATGTAGCTTGCTACTGCAAGGTTTGAGGCTGCTTTGTGGATGATAACTCTGAGATAATAGCTGTTTCATATGAACTGTGCAAGATTTATATTTCTTACCCAGTAAACACTCTAATTGGTTGTCCAAAATGAAAGAAATCTATCTAGAAAATTGACGAAGGTGCACTCACTGAATCCCAAATGAATGTTCAGTTTAACAAATCTGTCACAAGTTGACTTTCTGTACTTGTTTAGCTCTGATGTGTGTTTCTGCCAAGGCTTGCTGATTAGCCTTATTATTTATGTATGTATGTTTGTTCTGTATGTATGCCTTATCTGGAAATGGTTGTCTTGTATCCTTTCCTGGAACTCTGTAAACTTTAGCTGGATAATTTTAAAATCGCTCCCTTAAAACTCTTCAACTGCTTGTTTTCCAAATGCCATTTAATATCTCAATCTCTCTTTTTCGGAAACAGAGATATATCACCAATAGTCTCTTGAAGATCAAATTGAAGTAAACTTCTATAGATATTTTAGGCACTACTAGCACTAAGAAATTCTTCTGGATTTTAACAATGAAGCTGTGCATGTATGTTGAGACATTCAAATGTGAACTTATGAGACAAGGGTCATAAATTGTAGGCAAAATCTGTCAAAGTCTTTTCCCTGGTGCTTTCCTTCAGAATAGAGTTGGGTAGTGATCAGAGACAGGGTCTTCTGTTAAGCTATCAAAATGTTTTATGTATTGATTTTGTACCCCCCCCTCCATTTAGGATCCTTCTCTTGGATACTGCAGAATAGGACATTAAATCTCTTAAGACAATTTCCATTTGAATAAAACAATATGAAGAGCACAGTATCAAGTTGATCTCCATGTGTTATTTGCACAACTACCAGCATCAAGGAGTTCCTCTGCTGCCATTTTTGGGGTCCCTGGGATATACTGAAAGGCTATAGACTGGAATACCTTTCTCTGCTAATTTTCTTAATACTCAGTAAAATCCTTGTTTGTCTTCAAACCCTAGTAGCATCAATTAGCTCCTGAATGGCACCAGGCTGCCAATACATAATTTGGCAACAAGGATGGGATTTGAAGCAATGGGTGTCTTCTGGGAAAAAGCCATAAAAAAGAGGGTGAAGAATGCCACCACTTGGACTTCAGTGAATCAAATTTTGAGTGCCCGTCCCTCAGGGTCATTGGAATTTGTCAGCCCTTTAGAGGTAGGCCAGGCCAGGAAACGAATTCCCTAAGTCTCACTGGCACTATACTATGTTGATATAGGCTATAATAACAGAACCTCAAAAGCCTGATTGCATTATGTCTTCCTTTCTTTTTATACCCCAGGTGTTAGGGTGGTGTTTCGTCCCAATATTTTGTTCCCAGCCTTAAAGCATGCTTGAGTACACATTGTTGAAACTGCCTGTGCATCATTTTCCAAGGTCACCTCTGGGCTCAATACAGAATCTGAGTTGGTTGAACATGCTGCACTGAAATGCTTGCAGGCTTTTTGGGTGTAGCAGAGAAAAGGGAGAAGCCAATGAAGGGAATGAGATGGATTCTCCTAACTATGCTGCGAGATGCATGGGAAATCCTAGTAGACACTCAAAAGGGCAGCAGGCTCTGTTGAGAGAAGATGCTCAAAAGAGATGGCAGACAGTGGAATAATGCGCTATTATCTGGGCTGTTTTTATGTTAAAAATAAGTAAACCAAGAAAAAACGTGTCTAACCCTGGAAAGGTGATGTCATGGCTTCGTTGGATGCTGGCTCGGAAATGGAGTTGTTACCAGGATTGTCCGATGTGGAGAACACTATCCCCTCTGAATGAGTGAAGAGTCCAGGGTCTGAGGACAAGGTAGTCCCAGGGCTGTCTGGCAGGGGAGGGGGAGGCAACTGGAGGGAGAGCCACCTGCAGGAGTGGAGCAGCTGGAGAGGGCCAGCAGAGATGACAGGCGCCAGACCACCTATGATAAGGAACAGCTGCCTCTCCTGCCCGATTCCCAGGCAAGGAGAGCACAGCAGAGGGAAGCTCAGAGGCTGCTTGCAAGGAAGATGCCTTATAGCAGGGGTGTCCAACCTTGGCAACTTTAAGACTTGTGGACTTCAACTCCCAGAATTCCTCAGCCAGCTTTGCTGGCTGAGGAATTCTGGGAGTTGAAGTCCACA